GGAATTTGACACAACATTGTAAAATGACTATAATTCAATAAAAGTTGTTTAAAAAATAAATAAAATAAAGTACATAGGAAAAAAAGATATGGTGGGCTGGGAGGTTAGGGAGGGGGACTGGTGGGTGGGCTATACTGTTGAGGTTCATTCCCTTGCTAAGATACTACGGTTCCTTCTGGAACTTCTTTGAAGCTCCATCTGTTGTTCTTTTGTTGCAAGGAGGGTGGAGTGGTGCTATCTTCCTTTAGGAAAGTACATTAGGGTCAGAGAGCCTGCTGATTTTACTGTCAGCCTCACTGAGGCTCTGAGGATGGCCTTTGAGTGACAAGGAGAGGCATCTGGTCCTCTCTTCCTCCTTCCCTCCCCCTTCTCCCCCTTCAGAGTGTTGCTTAGCTGTTAGGCTGACTTACTGACATTTTTGTTTCTAAGTTCCTTGTAAAAGAAAATAACCAGATTAAAAAAATCTTTATAATATGTAGAGAGTAGAGAGTATTTACTACAGGCAAATCAGAGCTTAGAATCTAGTTCAAAACAGGGGTACTCAAAGTGTCCCAGGACCACAGGATCAGCATCACTTGAGAACTTACTAGAAACGCAAATTCCCATGCCCTACCCTAGACCCACGATATTAGAAACACTGGGTGGGGCCCAACAATCTGTGTTTTCAGAAGCCCTGCAGAGGATTCTGCTGCACATTACGACTTGAAAACCACTGCTCTAATGTTGATGTAGCTAACAGGTGGGAAGCTTTTACTGCATTGCTTAGAGATTGGAAAGGTGAGATCTTCCTAAAGCAGGACTTGAAGAATTACTAGGTGTGCAGAACAGCTTGGGTGGAGGCCATGAATCAGGAAGGTCTCCCAGCCTGGAGTGTAAGGCTTTGCATTCTGTTCCTGGGCAGCAGAGCCAGAGGCTGACAAGCAGTGTGGCTGAGTTCAGACGGAGGAGACCCAGGCTTGCAGAGAGCCTCATCTTTCACGTTCCCAGCTCCTTTCCGCCCAAGAAGAAACGATTGTTGGAATCGTGAAAAGAGCATGAATTCAGGGCCTACTTCTGACAGGCCCTTAGCCAGCTGTGAGAACTTTGGGGAATGACTTCATTCCTCTGAGCCTCAGTTTTTTCATCTTTGGAACTAATACCTCCTGCAAAGTGTGGTGTGGTTTGTGTGCCTCACACACGGTAGGTGCCCAATAGACACAGTTCTCCTGCTCCCCGGGTACTAGGGCTGATGCTCAGCTGGTACAGCATAAGACTGTCTGCAGTCACTCTGCCTGGTCACTGTCTGAGCTGCCCTAGTTATTAATTATTTCACACGCCAGCCCTGTACATTTCCCTACAGGACAGATGTGGATCGTCTTACAAACACAAACCTGGGGTAAGTTTAAAGTATATGTAAACAGATGAAAAATAATGTTAATTATTATGTTAATATTTAAATTATAGACAAAACAAGATATTGCGATCAAACTTAAATTTTGGAAATATGGATAATTCACAGTGGTAACCTCTAGCAAGATCTTTTTTCCCTTTATTTTAATCATTTTATTTTAAAATTATATGTGTGGACATTGTGCTTTTATGTAAAGATCAGATTTAAGCTTCTGGAGGAAGAGATCATGTTTGCCTCATCTTTGTATTCTCAGGTAGCACCAACCACAGATCACCACACATAGTTGACACTTCAATATTTTCTTTTGAAAAACACAAAGACACAGATTTAAGTGTGGGTTTTTACATCTGATACTTGACCAAATTCTTCTCATATCTCATTTTTTTAATTTAATTTTTTATTGAAGTATAGACAGTATTTACAATGTTGTGTTAATTTCTGGTGTACAGCATAGTGATGCAGTTATACACACACACATATATATATTCATTTTCATATGCAAGATCTTTTTTTTGGTATCTCCACAGGAACCCTTGTCAGGAAGTTAAATGGAATGCCACTGACCTTGGTGTCATGGGGCACTAAGAAGGCTGAGTGGCTGTGATTGGATCTGGGTGTAGTTCCTAAGCAGCTGTTGATCTCAAAACCGACCCACAGTCTCAACCAGGTGCTAGGGGGATGCTATGCTGCAGCTCTCGGAGAGCCGCATGCCACATGGTTCCTCTGAAGTGCCTTCATCCCTGGAAGAAACCCACTGGATAAGCCTTGGGGAGCCCTTCAAATTCTGGGAATCTGGTTTTCATAAGGTTTTTTTCAGCAAAGTAATGGTTGCATTTGCCACGTTGATAACTTTCTCAAGTATGAAATCTGCATAAAACTCTTTGACTTTCATCCTTAGTTCTAAAATGTGAGCTCTGAAAGATCACTATAGCTATGCCCATCAAAGTATCATTTAAAAATTTCAATTCTCGAGCCCCTTGTGTGTTACCTACAGATTATCTACTTCAAAATTTCTTCACCAGATAGGGGGAAATGTCTAAAGCAGTCAGATGTCTTTCATGTGGCCCAGACGCAGCTCTACACAAAGATCAGTGTTTTGTCAGTTGAAGGCTGATTAAATGAAATTGTGTAAAATAGAACGTTAAGAGAAACCAATGACCTACGACCTATTTCCTTGGGGGCACCAGGTTTCAGCCTTCCCTTAATTTTCTCTAAAGTGGGCCTTGTCTGAAAGCACTCAGTTTGGGGAGTATAACTCATCCACTAGTGGAAACTATGCCATACCTCATTCGTGTTACCTTCATGATTAAATAGCCTACTTTTCAAACTTGGCTATCATAATTTACTCAATTTGTATTTTACTTCTAAGACATGAATATTTTAATACTTAAAACATTGCATTCCAAGTTCCATCAGTCAACATTTCTCAAATGATGGCTTCAAAAGAAATAGGAGATGAATTCTCTTCTTTAAAAAAAATCATACACGCTATTCAGGAACACAGAGCACACTCAAATGAAATGAAGAAAAATTTTTGAAGCATAAATTGGCAAGTGCTAAAGAATAATTTGCAAAAATGAACAAGGTTCAATAGGAACTAACGAGAAAAATGAACAGAACCAGGCAGGGTACTCAAAAAGGCTTCTGGGAGGCAATGAAATTTGGGGTTTTGAAAAAGACAAATCTGGATTAGAGAAAAGTTGTGAGGGGATGTGAGATAAAAGCAATGTTTGACTTTTGTGCAGGGGAAGGAAAACACACTTTATTTCGGATAGTGGAACCATTACAACAACTGGCTCTTTCTTTTTCTCCTGCTGTTAAGATTTAAGGTGAACAGGAAAATATATTTCTCAAACAATCTATGATATCTACTCCTCACCTCTAATTTATTGAAAATCTTACCTACATTTTCTTTACTAGCCCGCTAATATTGGCTGCTATTAAGTTTGTTTTTTCTCCTAAATTTTACTTGCTAAATCATTTTTCATCTAATTCATTTATGTAATTTTTGGTTTTCTTTTCTTAAGTAACACCCAATTCTTGTAGAACAGTTTATATTCTCACTTAAATGACTCCCTATCTACCATCTGTTGTTGTTTTCCTCCTAAGTGGAACAAACTTCCTTCTGAAAAAATTTACTGCAGTCACAAACAGCCGTTTATGGTCATTTTAGAGATAAAATTCCATCAACTCAAGTTAGCACTGACATTTTCTTAGTGCTGTCAAGTCAGTGGTGGGGAATGGAAACCATCTCACCGGGTGCTCTAACTAAAGTGGAAGCCCCTTTCCTCTGCTTACTATTGACAGTGAAAAATGGCTAGATTAAAGCAGCCAAATATTTCAGTGTTGCAGAGCAAAGGTGACTTCCTGTTTTGTTTTAGGGTTTGTTTCCTTCTCTTCTCAATGAAGGCTGTGTTTTCTGACATTCGGCAATCCCTTTGCTCAGTGATTTCCCATTGAAAGGGCAGGGTAGGAGGTCCTCTGCAGGTCATTCCATTTACAATGTGTCCTGAAAAGGGAGGAAGGGGGAGAGGGAGGGAAAGAGGTAGCTCATTAGCGGAAGGAGCCGACCGGGAGGGGATCTGTTTTCCATTTTCTTTTCTAGGTTGAATTCATTTGGATGGAAAGGGTTTTATTGTTATCATTATCATCATTATTATTACCAGTATTATTACCAGTAATTTACCTACACATTTCTCTCAAGTGCTAGGCGAAATTATTGGTGGGGAGAGTTAAATAAGTGCCACTTTATTTTAGTGAGTAAAGTCAGAAGAAGAAAAAAAAGCCCAAGTGCTTTAAAGCAGTTCGTTTTCACTTTGAAGCTTAAAAAGCAAAGCTCCAAAGTTCTAAGGACAAAGGAAAAATATTAAAGGAAAACAAACAAACCACGCGTCTGGCTTCTGGTGTCTTATTTGTAATTATGTACAGGGTTTCTGCTCTTTTTATGAAAGGTGATTCCTCCCCCTCCTCCCCCCACCACTTATTCAAAATGCAGACCTCTGTAGTCAGGAGCTCTGGTTTGATAAGGCTCCACCATCGCTGCAGGGCGCGAGTTTTCTGCAACCTGTACATTTTAAGTGACGTTGCTTAAGTCTTTCCCCCTCAGGCCTGACTGCAGAGCTGGTGATCACAGAGGTGAAGCTGTATTTTGCTTAAAGGAAACATCTCCAGGGAGCGAGGGGCTCGGGCGGATTCCCAGGTGGGGAACAGGGGACACTCCGTCGTCGAGGTTGGTGTGGGCTCTTCGGTAAGGGGCTGGGGCTTCTCCTTTGGAGCGGGGTCGGGGGTTGCGCCCCCTGTGTTGGGGGTGGGGGGGAGGTGCTCGTCTCGAGTCGGCTCTTTCTTGGGTAATCGCATCCTCACTGCTTCCCCAGGCTTCCCTCTCCTCCGCCTCCAACCCACAGACCTTCTCAGTCCGGATCCCCAGCTGCCTTCCTGGGAAAAGGAGCTGGCCCTGGAGGGCTGGGACTGCGCGGGGGCGGAGCTGCCTGGGGCCCGGAGGTAGGAAAGTGAAGAGCAGCGGGTCCGAGGCGCAGACCTCTCGTCGAGGCTCCTCCTGCCGGTCCCTCCTGCTAGCGGCGGGCGCGGCAGCAGCCGCAGCTCACACCAAAAACTGGATTTTTTGCTCAGCCTACAAGACTTGCAAACTCTTACTGCACCCTCCTCCCCCATTAGAAGTCTTTTCCCTCTGATCCTCCCTCGTCCCCCCTACCCACCCCCGCCCTCCACCCCCTCAGCGTCCTCCTCACTTGGCAGTATTTCATGCTTTCCTTTTAGCACCTTTTGTAATCCAGGGGACGTGACACCCCAGAGCTCCAACTACCTCAGCTGAATTCTACTTTTGTTTTTATTTCTCCCTCCCTTCCTCTTGTTTTCCCCTCATCTGGTTCATCTGAGAAGCCTGGTGCTTCTGCTAGAGAGAGCGAGGAATAAATAGATGCTGCGGCCCCAGAAGGCTTAGACGTCGGGAAGAGCAGCCAGAGCGGCAGGAGCGGCAGGGGCGGCGGCGGCTGGAGCTCGGCGAAGCTCGTGGGACCCCATTGGGGGAATTTGATCCAAGGAAGCTGTGAGATTGCCGGGGGAGGAGAAGCTCCTAGATCACTGTGTCCGTTTCCAGGGGAGAGGAGGAGACGGCCGAGCGAGGCTCTCGGCGTCCTCGGCACTGCTGCGCCCTGACCCATCCTGCCGGGATCATGGCCTGCGGCAGCCCGGGAGCGATGCTGCTGCCGCGGGCTGGGCTGCTCGCCTTGGCTGCGCTCTGCCTGCTCCGCGTGCCTGGAGCCCGGGCGGCAGCCTGTGAGCCCGTCCGCATCCCCCTGTGCAAGTCCCTGCCCTGGAACATGACCAAGATGCCCAACCACCTGCACCACAGCACCCAGGCCAACGCCATCCTGGCCATCGAGCAGTTCGAAGGTCTGCTGGGCACCCAGTGCAGCCCAGATCTGCTCTTCTTCCTCTGTGCCATGTACGCGCCCATCTGCACCATTGACTTCCAGCACGAGCCCATCAAGCCCTGCAAGTCTGTGTGCGAGCGGGCCCGGCAGGGCTGTGAGCCCATCCTCATCAAGTACCGCCACTCGTGGCCAGAGAGCCTGGCCTGCGAGGAGCTGCCGGTTTACGACCGGGGCGTGTGCATCTCGCCCGAGGCCATCGTCACTGCCGACGGAGCTGGTGAGTCCTGACACTGCCCGACCTCTCCCCTTGCCTTCCAGCCACTCCTTGAAGTCCTGTTACTCACCTTTACTCTCTGATGCTGTCTTTCATTAAGGGAGGATCACCTCGCTTAATCTCTCTCTTAATTACTCTGTCGAGCCCCATGCCTTTTTCCTCTCACCTCTTCACCCTTTCAGATGTACGCATTTTCCAATAGGCGATCTGTCTTTCTAAAACACTCCGTTCATTCCACTCCCATTGCACTTTGACTCAACACTTACCCCTTCACTTCCACTCTTTCCATGTCCAAGTAACCACATCTTGTATAGTGATGCTCTTTCTTACTTTCTTCATCTGTTTATAATCGCTGAGCTTTCTTGCCTGATTCTCTTGCCTTCTGTCGTCAGTTTTCTGTATCTTCAGTGTTTAACTGCTTGTCAAGATTGTATGGTGAATGTGCTGTACACCAGAAGTTGACACATTGTAACTGACTATACTTCAATTAAGAAAAAAAGATTGTATGGTGAAAACAGACAACTGAAGCACCATTTTCTTCCAATCAAAAATGCCGAGATAACTTCAGTAACCTTACTCCAACCCACAGATGTTAGTCATATGTGTTTACTCAACATCCAATCTGAGCAATTGCCTTCACCTTAAATTTCCCCCTCCTTTCAATGAGATAAATTGTTCTTCCATTCCAGACTGAAATAGCTGTGAAACATTGCTATGCACTACTAATTAGCTTCTGTGACTTGCTCTAGACTCAGAGCTGGCGGGGTGAAATTGCTGGGCTCTTTTCACATTCCCACATGACTTCAAGTCATTTTGTAAATGACATATGGATGAAAGGAGTTATATTTAAGGCGTGGTATCATCATACACTCATGTAATGTTATTTTTACTTTCACCCTTTATCCCCCTCTTATGCTCTTCAAATAATTTGTCTTTAATACCTTATTTTATGCCCTTTTCTGTGTGTGCATCAACCGCAGATTCATTTCAATCTCTCCCTATTGTAAAGCTTTATTGCAGTTCTACATTAAATGGAACCCATTACAAGTTGTTTTCTCACTAGTGTTTGGTCTAATTAGAACAGTCATAATTCTTAAGACTCCAACTAAACAGTTCATTATGCTCCATTTAATTCTAACTCAATATCATTCCTACCAATTAACCCCAAACTTGAATTTCACCCTTCCTTTTTACTTTAAAAATAAACCCAATCTTTCATGGTTGATCCTCTTCCTTTGGATCCTCCTCAGATCATCTCTGTTCTTAGGTGTGATCTCTTGAGACCTCCCTCTCCGTTCATTTCTTGGGCATCAATTGCCTCTTAAGTTGCTCAGCCTAAGCCCATGTCCTTAGTCCTTCTAGGTAATAGTTTTTGGTGGTCAGGGAATTGATTTGGAAAAGTTGCTTAACATACAGTGAGTGGGGAGGGGAAGAGTGCTTGTACAAATAGCTGCAAAACCAAACTGAACAGAAAGATTTCAGGAGCTTTTGATGGCTACCTGACTTAGTTTATCATTTTGACTATACCTATTGTCGCCTTGATTTTCATGAAGAAACAAACTGGTTGTATCAAATAATCAAAAAGAAATGTATTTCTTATTAATCTTTGGGCTAAAAGAGTACTCTTAAGCTTTTGTACCCACTAACCATCACAGGCTGGGCAGACGCTGGGATAGCTCAGTCCACTGCTGCCCTGGTCTGCCAGGCACTTAGAATCAGTTAAATCCTGGCACTTCTCTCAGGCCAAGGGCTAGGAATGAGGTGGCTATGGTTCACACTGAAATGCATTCTCCCCTTGTTCTGAAACCTCTCTTAGAGATAATGGACTTCAAATGAGAGAGGTTTGGCAAGATTAATGGCTCTCAAAAGCCATGGTCAATATGGATGGAAAGCTGTTTCCTTAAGTGTCCCTGAGTTACCTATCATCGTGGACCAAATGTGGAACAATTGCCTCATTGAAGCACTCAAATAGGACGTGCATGGAAACAATTTGTCAGTTCATGGGACCTGATTGCTGAGCTGCTTCAAAATGCCATAATATGTTTTGCTGACAACATCCTTGCTAGAAAAATAAGTAGGGGTAGGTGGCAGTTGGAACCATATTTTAGTGATAGTCTCCCCTCTTCCCCCTCTTAATTATAACCCTCAGTGTGAACCAGAGACTCCGGTGGCAGGAGGGAGCTGAAGGGGAGGTGGGGAAGGCAAATTGAAGGGTGGATTCTAGCCTGAAGGGTCCCCTGGCTTCCAAGGCCAGCTTGCTGAAAATTACATTCTCTATCCAGGGTCAAACTGTCAGGCACCTGGAATTACTTAGGAACTACCACATGTGGCCAGTTTAATTTACGATGCAATGTGTTCCTTGGTTCAGTGGGATATGATAGTTCATTAAGCTGGGTTTTTCCCCTCTTCCTTTAGGTATAAAGAGTCCTTATGTCTTATGTCTAGAATCTAGCAGAATATAAAAATGAGGTTTCCCTGAGTAAAATGAAACCACCTTTTACATTCCTCCAATGTCAAGAGGATTTTCAGATCCTACCATTCACACAGATCTGTTCCCTCGTGGTACATTATGACTCCACCAACAAGTTTAGGACATTTTTTACGAAGCAAAATGAAATGGGGTATTGCTTTGAACTACTGTTTGCTTTTAAATATTAAGGGCAAGCATATTTTCATAAAGAAAGATCATATCTTCCTGACCATTATGAATAAATTTACATTACATTTATCTTTCCACAGTTTATATTTTACTATAGAGTTGTGGCCACACATACAACTGCCTTATCTGCTTTATTAGAGAATTCAGTTCAATTTAGTCATTCTGCTGGTTAATTATGACATTTAGTGAAATCTTTAATAATGTATGATGAGTAAAGTGCTTGGAGTGGGGCAGACCAGGTGTTGAATCTTGACTCTACCTTGTATCAACTGTTACTGTAGGGGAATTATATAACCTCTCCAGTTGAAAGGTTTCTAATTTGTAACTGGGGACAATACCACCTACGTCCCAAGGGCACAGTGATGATGAAATTAAACAGCATCTGTAGTGCCTCGTACATAGTAGTAAGTCCTTCACAAATTGCTGCCATTGCTCTTGTTATTTCACTGTTATTATCATTGTTATTCAAATTGATTTCTTTTTTGTTTTGTTTTCTTTGAACAAACATGGTCTTTTGGTAAATGCAGATACAGCCTAGAACTTGTATCAGTTCAGCTCTGGGAAACAAGCTTCACACACTGAGAACTAACTGGAAAAGCAGATCTCATTTCTTCTGAATACATATTTAATATGTATTTAAAATACTTACTATTTCATTTTGCATGGATCAGCCTGGATCTCAGGTTCAAGAACAAATCCCTTTGGGAGCAATAGGAAGGGAAGAATGAGTCTGATGAATGTCTATTAATTACAAATAGTTTATCTCAGAAATGTAGACATGGAGAATGTAAGAAAATTTATGGTATGATATTTAACAGCTATTTCTACAGCCCCTGTGGTTTGCCATGCCAGGGGCTTTATAATCACTCCTCAGTCATTGCTGGGTTTTGTTGTCATCCCAGCTTTTGCTGCACACATTTCTCCCAGCCTTTTCTCACTGGGCTGCGCTGCACCAACTTTCACATGCATGGACTGCTGTTTAATCATTTCTCCACTTTCTGGGAACAGGCAGCCTTTTCTTTAGCCTAGATCTGCAAATATTTGAGAGGCCAAATACCAAGAAGGAAGAATTATTTAGTGTGATATGAAGAGGAAAGTGGAACGGAAAGGAGAAATGGAAATTTTAAATTAAAACTAGAGAGAAAACATGATTCTAAAGATCCTTCATGGTGTAAAATATTGAAAGGCCCTCTGGAAGGGGTAGGGGAGTATATCCCAGAATGTGATTTAATTCCATTTATAGCTAATGCAATTATCAGTGGTAATGTAATCTTACATAGTCTCCAAATCTGATTTTAATAGTTCATTTTTTATCTTGTTCCCACAAAATTCCAAATAGTTATTTGCTATAAATAACAAAATTGATGACGTTGTATCTGTTCCTTCTCTTCCTACTAGGTGTGTTGAAAGAGACCAACAACCACCATATACATATTTAGTTTTGAATGATTAAGAATTGGCTCTATGTCCCCAGTTTAAAGAAAATTAGTTTTAGAGTTATAGGTCCTTGTTTGGGATCCCAGAGTGGCCATTAATGGTGTACTTTGAGCAAGTCATTTGACATTAACACTGGGATTGTGAAGAACAAAAGAAATATTCATGTGAAGTGAATGACAAATGGTAAAGCAACAGCAACATGATGACAGGACATGGTATTCTCAGGACAGGAATCATTAGCAGCCACAGAATAAGAACTAACGACACATAATATGTTCCAGATGCTGTTCTGTGTAATGCATATTGATTTTTTAACTCTCATAATAACTACATGGTTGGTACTAGTATTATCTGCAGAAAGGGAAGCTGAGGCATATAGTGAAGTTAATTAAGTGAACCAAGTTCATAAAGCTATTAATAGACGATTCATACCAGAACCTGTTCTAAGCTATGCTCCCTCTTCTACGAAGAAATAAGTGATTCTAATTTTATAGTATATCTGTGTCTTTTGACCATCAGATTGCAGTTAAAGGAACAAGTTTTTTTCATTATATTTCAAAAGCCCATTTATACAGGGCTTAAGAGAATAAGGGGAAGCCCTGGAGAAAGGATTCCAAGACAGAAGAGCTAAGTGCTTCCCTGAGCTTCTGAGACAGTAGAGAACATGCATTCCAGATTCTCGTGGCTAACTGTTTGCCCCTCCGTCTCAGCAGACCCCAGAGTGAACGCATCACTTCCTTACCTTCGTATGCCTATTCTCTTCCAGTATTTTCTAGGTTGTTCAGAAGCACCACCACAACCATATTCCAGGCCTGGGACTCAGACTTTCTTCCACCCTTTTCTTTACCCTCCACATTCAGTAGGTAACAAGTGCCATTAGATCCACTCTGAAGCCAATTCCCTTCCCTTCTTCTCTAATGCTACTTTCTTTCTTTGGGCCTCACCATTTCCTACATGGATTATGGAGACAGAATGATAATTGGCTTGCTTACCTCCAGTGTTACCCCTCCACATTCCAATGGGGCGATCTTTCTGAAACACAAATCTGTTGTTTACAATCCTTTGGTATCTGCCTCTAGCCTTCATGATCTCGTGCCTTCCTGCCTCTCTAGTTTTCTCCCCCTCCACTTACACTGCTCTGTTGAGCCCCACTGGAAGATGGTCAGGTCCCTTGATGAGAGCTGTGCTTTCTCACCCCCATACCTTTGCTCTTCTCTATTTGGAAAACCCTCCCTTCCTCCTTTAGAACAGCTCCTTTAGAACTCTTCTGGAAACCTCTATGACTCTGACCTGAAATCCTTGGGCCATAAGTCCTACTAATAATACCTACTATTTTAATTTAGGATAATTTTGTTAGGATTCCTAAATTTAACTTTCTGAAAACTTTTTTGGAATTATTTATGATCAGAAAACTTTGGTTTTCTCTCTTATAATTCTGACAGTTGATGTCTAAGCACTTTAAAAAGTGTAGAAATGTTTTTCTCTGAATAAGAATAAAGAAAGAAAACCAATCTCCTAGGTTCAGCTGCTGCAAAGGGGTTTTCTTTTTCCAAGTGAAGGACTGTATTTTTCATTTTTATTTCAACCTTTTCGACATTAAACGATTATTTTAAATGTGGATCAATATGATTTTTTAATTTACAGAGAGATCATTTTTATATAAATCATATGCAGGGTATCACATGATTACTAGGCTTTTTCAGGAATAGAAAAACTATTGGCATATTACTTTAATACTTGGATATATTTATGATGAATAAAGTCTTTGAATAGAAAAAGCCATTAAATTCATAGTATCTGACCTTAATGGAACCAAACATTTTAGAATCACATATTTGTTGCCTGCTTATCTATTTTTTATTTGGTGACTGCTATCTTTCCTAGGATATAGCTATTAAAATACCAGCTGATGACTACTAAGCCAGGGAAAGTAAATTCATTAATTGTAATTTTGGGTGCTGTTGTTCTAAAATGGTATTACCCTCCTTGTTTAATTTATTCATGATGTGACCTATGAAGAAAAAGGACAGAGGAAGAATGTTATTTTCTATTTGGATAAACAGAGGCATTAAACTCGTTTGACATAAAGTGTTAATACACATGTAAAGCTCTCATGTAAGAGTACTGAGTTGAAGTGTCAGGAAGAATCTATAATTGGATACAGCATGGTGCTTTGCTGGGTGCTCAGTGTTATTCCTAAGAGGGTACTTTCTTAACTAGAGCACAGAAGGACTTTATATAATTACCATTTTCATTACCATTTATCACTTTACCATTTTCTGGGATTATGGGATCATGAAAAGAGTCAATGGCAATTTCCAGTTATTACTATGTCTGTTAATTGCACTGGCTTGAGTAATCTCTGGATGGTAGGCTTCCTTTCTGCTAGTCTGCAGTTAACAAAGAGCACAAGAATGCTCTCTGCATGTTTTCCTTAAGCACTAAGAATTAAAATGTATGCCAGAAAAGTGTGATACATCTATCTGTTGAAGAGCTGTAATTTAGTTCTTTGAGTCATCGAGAAACAGATGCTGGGTGAGTACTGAACATGAGCACGGGCTTCATTGTTAGAGGGTGCTCATATTTCACAAGTTCTGTGAAACTCAGAAACTTTGTTTACTAAATCCTGAAATAGTATGCACAGTTGATGAGGATTCAAAAAAGGACGTTAAGGTTTAATGACATGAGAGAATACATCGTGTCCTTATTTGACCTACAAACGGTAGAGTGCCAGCCTCACAACACTGGTAAGAATCAATTTCCTTGAGACATCTAGGTTCTTTCCCAAATCAGCCTGCGACTGAATTAGATTTTAATATGGGAGTTCTTGAAGTGATAACGAGTATGTTATGATTCTCACTTTATTCCATCACTCACTTTCAGATTTTCCTATGGATTCCAGTAATGGAAACTGTAGAGGGGCGAGCAGTGGTGAGTACATCACTAACTTCCTGGTTTTCATTTGTGGTCAGATTAGACTTTGATGTCACCTAGGTACTCAGATCTTACCTGGGGAAGTTTGTGTCATACATTTTTAAAGTAAACTTATAAAAGGACTTCTTTATTTGTATTTTATTTAAAAAGTTAACATGGTAAAATTTGATCTTTTCTTTCGGCATGTAGTTCTATAAATTTTAACGCATGTATAGTTTTGTGTAACCACCACTACAATCAGAATACAGGACAGTTCCATTACCTCAAAAAAAAAAAGCAAACCCTTCCTCATGGTATCTTATCATTACAAGCTTCTCCCACTCTTAACCACTACAATCACTGATCTGCTCTTCATTGCTATGGTTTTGTCTTTTTGAGATTGTCATATATATGGAATGACACTGTGTAACCTTTGGATATTGGCTTCTTTCACTCAGCAAAATGCCTTTAAGATTCATCCAAGTTTTTGCATGTGTCAACAGTCATTCCTTTTTGTTGCTGAATATTTTATTACTTGGATATATTACCATTTGTTTATTTATGTCTTGAATGATATTTGGGTTATTTCCAGTTTTTGGCAATCATAGATAGAGCTATTATAAACATTTGTGTAGAGGTTTTTGTATAAACATAAGTTTCCATTTCTCTAGGGTAAAATCTAGGTATAGTACTACTGGGTTAAATGGTAAGGATATATTTAACTTTATTTAAAAAAAAACTGCCCAACTTTTTCCAAAATGGCTGTTAATTTTGCATTAGCAATATTTAAGAGTTCCAGTTGCTCTGCATCCTTTCTCCCACCTAGTATTTTTTTTTTAAATTAGCCATTTTTAATAGGTGTGTAGTGATGTCTTATCATGGTTTTAATTTGTATTTTCCTAATGGCTAATGATCTTGAACATCTTCTCATGGGCTTATTTGCCATCCGTTTATATTCTTTTTCTTGAAGTGTCTGTTCAAGTCTTTTGCCCATTTTAAAATGGACTGTGTTCATACAACTGAATTTTGAGAATTCTTTATAAATTCTGGATTTAAAGACCCATCTTGTAGTTTCATTGATTTTTCTCTGTTTTTCTGTTTTCATTTTTATTGATTGCTGCTCGTTAGTATTTCCTTCTTACTCCTTGCTTTGGATTTATTTTGCTGCTGTTTTTATTTTATTTTCTAGTTTCTTAAGGTAAAAACTTAAATTACAGTTTGAAACTTTTCTTCTTTCTAATATAATAATTTAATGCTATAATTATCCATCTAAGAATGGCTTTAGTTGCAGCTTACAAACTTTGATAGGTTTTATTTTGATTTTTCTTCGGTTCAAAATATTTTATCATTTCTGTTGAGACTACTTCTGTGATTCATGCATTATTTAGTATCTTGCTGTTAAATTTGCTGCTGTTTGGAGGTTTTCCTGTTCTTTGTGTTATTAATTTTTGTTCTAATTTTATTATGGTTAGAGAATATATTCTATATGACTTTAATTCTTGTAAATGTATTAAGATTTATTATAGTATGACCCAGGGTATGATCTATCTTGATGAATGTTTCATGAGCATTTAGGAGATACCTATTTTGGTGTTGTTGAGTGGAATGTTCTTTAAATGTCAATTAGATTTGCTGAGTGACACTTTTGCTTAGTTCCTTTATGTTCTTGATGGTTTTCTATCTACTAGATCTATTGATCACTGTGAGAGAAGTGTTTAAGTCTAAATATCGTGGACTTTTCTGTATCTCTCTTCAGTTGTCAGTTTTGTTCCATGCAGTCAAAGGTGGTATTACTTGGTGTATACACATTTAATACTTTTATGTCTATTGGTAAACTGACCCTTTTATGATGTAATGTTCCTATTTATCTCTGGGTACTTTTCTCTGCTCTAAAGTCTATTTTGTTTGATATTAATATAACCACTCCAGTTTTCTTTTGAGTAGTTTTGCAAGGTGTATATTTTTCTATCTTTTTACTTTTAATATATCTATATCATTATGTTTTAAATACATTTCTTCTAGACATCATATAATTGTTTTTTCTTGTTGGTGTTGATTTTGTCCCTTCTGTCAATCTTTGTCTTTTGATTAGTATGTTTAGACAATTTACATCTATTGTAATTATTGTAAGTTTGTGTTTAGAGCCACCCTTTTATTATTTGTTCTGTTTTTTTCTTTATTTTTAAATTTCTGTTTCCTGTATTCTAGCTTTTCCTTGGGTTATGTGAATGCATCTCTCTCTCTCACTCATCATCATGTGTGTACACACACAGACACACCCATGTATGTGTCTGTGTGATATATAAATGTTCCCATGAGATAATGTTGTATTTTCTCTTTCAACCATTAATGTTTCTTTCAAATATCAAATATGTTTTAAACAACTCAAGAGGAAATAAATAGCCTACTGCATTTATACAGATGTTTGTAATTTCTGTTGTTCTTCCTTCTTTCCTGATGTTCAAGGCTTCCTTCTGGTATCATTTCCCTTGTGTCTGAAGAACTTCCATTATACTTCTTTTAGAGAAGTTATGGTGGCAACATTCTGTGATATACTTCCTGGGACTTCTGTATCAGGGGCCAAGTGGTGGAGGATGAAGCAGTGGAGGTTTCCCCCAGTACCCTGACACCATGTGTCATCCAATCAGAAAGGAAGGTTCTCCTCCATCAGCATTGTAGGCTTCTGAGGACTTCCCATGCAGAAGCCAGTGCTGCCATCACTGGCCCGGGATTACTTCAGAGATGGGATTGAAGAAAATGGAGTATTAGGAGACCCTTTTCCCACTTCCTGAATTGGAACCAGAGGGCTTTTCCTGGAGTGCTTGTGTCTACATGATGCCTACTTCCAGGCTGTGTTGAAACCAGTCTGGGAGGTATAAGAGGTGGAGAGAATGACAAACCCACTACCAGGTTGATGGTACTGGGCTTCTTTCTCAGACTTCCTGCTACTATTTACTTTTTAGGGTCCTTAAGTAGCTGCTTCATGCATTCTGTTTTATAACTGTGTTCAGTGGGAGAGATGAGATGGAGTTTATTTACTCCAGCTTTTTTTGGGGGGGAGGGTGTTCTTACTTATTTAGTTAGTTAGTTTTAGTGGAAGTACTGGGGATTGAACCCAGGACCTTGTGCATGCTAGGCACACACTCTGCCACTGAGCTATGCCCTCCCTCTATTTACTCCAGGTTTACATAAGATAAACCCTTAAATGAAGTATAGCATATGTGCAGAGAAGGCACACATCATAAGCATGCAGCCTAGTAGTATTTTCATAAAGTACACACTCTTTTGTAATCATTGTACAGATCAAGATAGATACCATTACCCACATGCCAGAAGCTTCCCTGTGCCTCTTCCAAATTACTACTTTTACCCTTCTTCCCAAAGGTAACCACTAGCAGAAATTTTAACAGCATGGATTAATTTTACCTGATTTTGAACTTCTATGTATAGAATCCTACTATATATGGTATATGTGTGGCTTCCTTTGTTCTTCATTATGCTGTGTATAGCAGTGCTTTTACATTTTCATTGCCATATAGTATTCCATCATATGACTATAACACACTTCATTAATTCATTTAATATTCCTGGACATTTTTGTTGTTTCTAGTTTTTTTTTGCTTTTTGGTTTTTTACTGTGGCTAATGCTGCATTTGTTTCTACAAGAACATTACAACTCCAATTAGTTACTATATACTTCTTTTTCACTTTCTGGAAATAGTAACTTGCAGTGATTTAAGTCTGTATGTACTGTCTTGTAAAGTGTCTTATACGTGGAAGTGGAACCTTTATTTTATTAAGCTGCAAATAAATTTGAAACATCAATTTTCACTAGATTGGAACAGTTTTTACTGTTGATTTCCACTGACTCTTAACAGAGTGACAAGTTTTGACATAAGGCAGTGTGCACTAAAGGTACCCCAGCCAACATTTATCTTTTAAAAAACACAAGTGAGTTAAAATGATTTATTTAGAATTATTTTGTTGCCTTCTTAATGTAGTTGAGAATTTTCCTATAGTGTCATAAAATCAGTTGGAAATCACTAGTGTCCAGTAGTGGTGCTATTTTAAGGCTCACTGCTACTATTATGTTTGTTCAAAACCAACTAGAAAGCTCATTTGTGCGATAGTACAATTGATGAGTCAAAATTGTAGTCTAAGTATATGCATGTGCTATCCATTTACCCAGAACTTATGGTTAGAGTAATACAACTTCAACATATGAAAGAGAAAAGAAGACAGTAATGACACTATAATAATATACAAAAATAGTTCAATGTGTACAAACTACCTAGAATGAATACAGTGTTCCTGGGTTCAGTGTTTCTGTTCCTCTTTTATAAATGTTTTCCTGTCCCCTGGTACAATGGGAGAGATGAAAACACACTAACAAGCAGGCAAAACCAAGCTCATTCTGCTTGTGGAAAAAACACACAGACAAAGTCATGTGTCCCAAGGAGAAAATAAAATTTCTTTACATTCAAAATTTTGTGCTTGGGGTAATGCAACAGCTGAGGCTGATTATGATAAAGCAGGAAATGAGAAAGATATAAAAATAATGTAACCCTCATAACCCCGTTTTCAAAAGTGTCAAGCTGTTTCTTTCTGGAATTTGGGAAAGAAATTCTTTCACTCCAGTTAATTTATTCTTTGCCTCAAAGCTTAACAGTCTTCTCTTTTTGGAGATAATGACTATCTGAGCAGCTTCCAACTCATGAGTGTGTTTTGTTGTTGTAAACCCACCATCATAATGAAGAGTGCATCCTTTCTAGTTTTCATAACATGGAATATGGAGAAAAACAATCTTAGTTCTAGTCTGCTGAATCACTTGGCCTGTCAAATCAACACAGAAAATTAAGGCAGGTATTCACATGGTGTAATGAAAAGATTTGTTGTTTATTAAAAACAATTCTGAAAAAGTATCCCCCCAGTTATCTACTTTGTGATGGTGACCAGTTGATGAGCTTTTATATTTGAAAAACACAAATTTCCCCAAAGAGAAGATACAGTTGGTCAGT